TCTCCTTAGGTTTGCTTCCATGATTCCGGTCCACGTCTCTTCAGGTCCATTTAACCTCTAAATATTTTACCAGTTTTTTTATGACTAAATATCTACAGCCCCTTTAGGTTGGATTCAACAACATTTAAATCAAACCAGAGATTCTCAGACTCTAACAAGTTACTCTTTAGAGTTTTACTGTTATTTTTTTGCTCCGTCTTTCCTTTTTGTAAGACAAAAAAAAAAAAGAAAACTATCTTTCCTTTCACTCTGATCAAACATCTTCACAACATTAGAACCAGCAGGAGCTACTCTTGGTGCTGTTGCCTAACTGTGCCTGGTTAGCTAAAGGTTTTTCAACAAACTTAGAATTCAGACAACCTAGTCTCCAAAACTATCATCAGACCATTTTTATTATACATACCATTTTCACTAGTAGTGACAGAGGAGTTGCTAGCAGCCAGAAGAGAACCAGAAGCCATGCTTAGCTAAAATTAACCAAAGTTAGCAGACCCCAAACCCACCAATAAAACCAAATTGTCAAGGACAACATGTCAATATAAAAGTACAATACAATAAAATATGATAAAATGTGCTTGTATACTAGTACATAAAACTGTATGAAAGTCATATAAATCCAGTAAATCAAAATATTCTGCAAACAGTATACTCCAGCTACCAGCAGAGAAAACATGAAGTGACACAATATTCTTTCTTTACCACACAAATCAGCCCATCAGTCTCCTGATGTGAACATTAGGAGACGAGCTGGCATTCAAACATTAAGCACATGATATCAAATGTCAACATATTCTAAACCTTCACAATCTGATATCTTACTAATGCCTACTCCTATTCAGAACATAGTACATGGAAACCAAGCTTTAAATATTTCCCTCTATGTGTAATAAATTGATGTAATGTAAGAGTTTCACTTTCTGCGCTGATTGACAAAAAAAATAAGTTTRTCTGCAATATTCCAATTTTAAGATGCCTTTGTACCTCCTGTGCTGCTGTATTTGTCAAATAATCTAAATATGACAACAACAAAACWAACCTTCTTAAGTTCTCTTCTGATATTGGTGCCACCCATGGACTGTCAGTGACCTCCCCATTAAGATATTTTATAGAGGTGTCACTGTCCGTGCATCCAGTAACTGCCTAATTGATATCCTGATCCAGGTTTTAAGTACTGCAGCACTTTAGAGGCCGCTCAGAGCAAACACAGCCCACAAGTCATCAATGAGCTGCCGCTCAAACAGGAGAGTGAAGCCGGACTGACAGAATATCTATTAACTATAGATTAACAAGARGTGTATACACTCCTGAGCTGTCCATCTTTGACCTACATCAGGACTGCTGTTGGATTAATGAGCATCATGTGCATTTGTGCAGATGTGGAACTACACTGATTATTTTTTTTTGTTTTGCACAGTGGTGAGAAGACTGCACTTGGATCAGGACCCTGTTTGCTAAAGATTTTCAAGCATTTTTTCCAAGTACAAATATGTTTTGTATTAACTGTATCAAAACTCTAGGCAAACATTTTAATCTTAGTGATGTAAAATAAATTTTATTAGTTTAGSTTTTTTTAGATAGTATGCGGCTATGCTCAGAAAAATGAATCTTAAAAGAGAACTTCCATGAATTTTTCTCCAAAACATAAAAGAATGTAACAATTAACGGCACAGTGGGTAGAATTTGTTTTCAGCGACATCTAGTGGTTGAGTGGTTGAATCATCCACCCTGGTCCTCCCCCCACCCCCCGCTTCCAAACGCAAAGCAGTTGCTGCGGTGTCTCTCAGGTGTCATAATAAGTAAAATTATTAAGTTAATTAGTAAAATTATCCCAGCTACAATGACAGACAACAAATATTACATTTATAGTATTACAACTAAAACTGGTTTTGACGCCGCCACCGCAGTTTGTCCTTCATGAGCCTTCGTAGACAAGATGGCGGTGCAAGATGGCGGCTGCCTGTGTGGCGACACGCGACCATTGAGATATAAACAGCTTTTTATAAGGTAAAAATAATAAAACAAGGTCTTTGTCTGCAATGATTAGACATATTTTTTATTATTGTCATTAGTGATTATCTCAATTTCGGCTAAAAGAATGGACAAAATCCTACACACTGTGCCTTTAACATCACAGTTCACACTGCTTCACTGAGAGGGATTAAAAGGGACATTATCACGAATCAGTAATATTAGAGGAGCAACTCAGGTCGGAGACACCGAAAGATTGGGCTGAGATGGTCTAGACAAATGCAGAGGAGGGACAGTGGGCATATTGGACAAAGAATATTTAGTAAGCTGCCAGGAGGAGGAGAGAGGAAAACCATCAAACCATTAAGACCTTAAAAAACTTACAAAATAACTACAACTTATTTAACTACAACATATACTGTATATTATACAGTATAATTGTATATTATTGTGGAGGTGTGTGTTTTCGCTCCTGTGATCTCACCTGGCAGATTGCTGATTGGCGTGGGCAGAGTCTGCACTTCTCACCTGTTCCTGATCTCTTTTTCTTCTTTTTAGTTTTTGGCAGTTGGCAAACAACTGTAATGGTGCGTTTAGGCCTGTCACGATAACAAATTTTGCTGGGCGATTAATTGTCTCAAAATTTATTGCGATAAACGATAGTATTGCCTGGTGACCGTTTTACAACTAATAATTATAAAAGCGTAATGTGTAAGTGTAATAAATCAATAAACTTTCATTTTTAAAAGAA